TCGTTGGTCAGAATAGAGTTGTGTCACAAAAACAGACACATGACCTGCGTTTTTTTGATGGTGCTACTGGGGTAGTTATACAAATATGTCTTCAGCACTTATCCTGTCATTGCGCCTCAGCCCAGGTAAAGACTTCAACCAAAAGTCAGCAAGTTTAATAGCTGCTGTGTGTTGTTTTTGGCCTTCCTGTTGGCCACTTCTTTGTTTCACCTCTGACTCTTACTGTCATGTTAAAACTAGCTTTAGCAAGCCTGTCAACAGGATATCATAGCTTGGAAATAAAGTCACATTAATATCATAAACATAGTCAGGGTCATCATCATTATTGTCCTATCAAATTCTGTAGATGTATCAGATTCCAGATCAGAGTAATCTTTTTCTTTTACAAACTTGTCATTAAGTGGTGAATTGTTCCCTGGTTCATCATCACAATCTTTATTTACTGAGATCTAGATATTGGAAGAAAAAGTTAATTTACTATGCATGATGGTTGGTTGAAATTCATTTATAGCTTTAAGATTAAAGTTGAAATAAATCATAGTTTCTCATCTTATCAGTATCAGGTTGAAATGATTAAACATCATATAATTAGACCCACCTTTTTGGTTGGCACCACTTCTTCAACACTCATTTGTTTATGATTTCTATACAACTGTTTAGGCTTTTGAAAATTATTTCTGGAACCACCAAATTGAATTCCATTACTGATTTGTATCCCATCTAAATCGCAAGATACAAATACGTTTTCAGTGCTTATCCTGTTATTGCACTTCAGCCCAGGTAAAGACTTCAACCAAAAGTCAGCGATATGCCCTTTCTTTTTAGACTCGACCTCATATTTCACAGTAAGTTGGTTGCTGATGAGATATGTAAATCTGACTTGTCCATACAAGGGAATTGTTCACTGACTGGTAAAGATAAAATTTACATGTTAGTGTATCAAAGATATTGGAAAAAATTATCTGATCCTAGGTTTATCAAAAGCTGGTCTACAGCGGAGACGCAGTCCATAACCATGCGAATAACCATGCGAAGACGCAGTTCCATGGGTAGCTACAATTATTAGTTTATGAAAAATACTGACCTTGAATTGATTTTCAAGACGTATCGCGTTTTCCTTTTCCGCTTCAGAGCCTTGAGCTTTTATGATTTGTATTTGCTTTAGAAAGCTTCTTGTTAGAGTTGACTTGTCCAAACCCAAACTGCTACTTTTCCAGAACGTATGGTACTGAACTGCGTCCCAGTCATTACTGGGAAATATTCGAAACAAGGAGTTTTGCGTCCTTTATTTGTTTACACCTACGATTGAACGCTAAAGGTGTACATATTCGAAACAAGGACCAGGCTCACTGATTTCGGACAGCATTGTTAGAATTTCGCTTTGAGGGATGAAGGCGTGGTTTTTTTACCTGACAAATTTTTTTTTATATTTACATCTAATATTTCCATATCAGGAAAGCATCACGAATATCACGATAATCAATGCACGTTATTTGATGAGGGACTATATTCTGCACGTGCAATGGATTTTGCGGTCCCGGTTATATTAATATGAAAATAATCTCCGTAAATTCAGGCATGTGACCCAGCAGCTAAATATGTTATAGTCAGTCAATGTCCATCACCAATGAAATTCGGCGAGTTAAAGACTTTACCATTCCCAGGGTTATAAGACAATAACAAATTATCGGATCATAAAATGTCACTTTACGCAAGCGAACCATTTTCTGGTGTCGAGTTATATTCGAGATGTGAGAATACAGTTCTGTAGTAACATTGTCTGCTAACATCAGGTCATGTATTTATTTAGACATCAATAGTCAACAGTGGACAGAACATCTTAATATCATAATTTACGATTAATAGTTAGCCACTATTTAAGCATGCCATCGTGGTCATCATAAAAATCGTTTATACCTAATTGTTAGTTAGAGGATTGTACTGAAATTTCACCGTTAATAAAAATAATTCATCATGCCGCCAAAAATTAAAGCAACTTTGACAGATTCTCAAAAATACGAACTTTGCCAGTATGCTCGCGATAATAAGCGGAGTATGTTAATTGGATCGAAAATAAATGGCAAGTCAAGGTTAATGAGTCTACCATAACACGAATTTTGCAAAGAAGCAACCAGTTACTTTCTGAAGAAGAAATCGTCGCTCCAAATGCAAGAAGACACAGATCGGTTACATACCCAAGCACTGAAATAGCAGCTATCAGTGCCAGTACGGCATTACAAGGTTTGGAAACTGTACAAGCATTTTTACTACAACAAGAAAGTGCAAGTAAATACATAAAAATGACAATATTCTCGAGAGATATATTAGCTAATACGATGCATAGATCAATATTTAACCAATAAATGAATAAAGTATCGAAATCACGTGAATTTACTATACTTCCCTAAATGCACGCTCTCACACTTTCGGTCCCATTTAGGGAGAGTTCACTGTATATCGAAAGTGAAAAAACCTTATCAACGATTTTTACAGATAGAAAACGACAGAGATAGCGAATGAAATGTATAATGCTATCAAAGAGGGAGGGAGTACGCGGATCCTAGGCCATTTAATGCGAGTCCCAGCATCAATTTATTTTCTTTGCTCTCTCAGGCTTTTTATAAACTTCTACACCTAATTTATTTCTATCACTATTGCTAACTACGAGATTCTCACCCCGCACTCTTTCATTGTATTAGATCTCCAAAATAAAATTTCCCGCACATATTTCGTCTATCTATATCACTCTCACCTGCAGACTATAAAAGGTTATTTCCCGCAAGAAAACTTCTCCGAGATTAATTAATTTCGAATCAACTCGGGAGATTAGCAACTGATGTAAAAAAAAAAATAAAATTTCCGATCCACACTTCCGCCTTGTATTTAGGAAATTTGTTGCTTAGAACGTTATACACGTAATAAAGGTATGTCGATGTTTTTATCGCCAGTATACTGCGCGCTAATGAGACACGTGGATTCGATTAGATTAGATAATATATTCTAGTTATCTCACTGCGCCTATTATACGCATAATAAAATACCAATTCTTGTATTTTCCAATCATATCACAATGATAAGACAGCTATACGTTGACGTAATACAATAAACAATCTCGGTTTGCGGGAATTTTAAGGAAGTCGTAACGAGGCTATTACAGTCGACTCTCCCTAAATGCACACTCCCTAAATGCACACACTCCCTAAATACACGCTATTCTGTGGTCCCGACCTCGGGACTTAAATGCACACTCTATATTCTGCACGGCTATATGACTCTAAATGCACACGCGTGATTTTGAGTATAAATTTAGTAGTTATTGTCATACATCAGGCAAAATTATAATTGGTGGAATTTTGCAACATTCGATTCAAATGTATTACTTTAATGTATTACCGAACATTAAACGCATCATCAGGCGATTTTAATTTGATTAGTTTCATCAGGCGATTTTAATTTGATTTGTTTCATCAGGCGATTTTAATTTGATCAGTTTCATCAGGCGATTTGATCAGGCCATATTCTAGTTCAAAAATCAGACAAAACTTAAACATACATATGCTATAAAGTTAATGTAGTTTTTACGAGCGAATGACTATTTAAATGGATAGGCGTCATATTGCCATAGATTTTAAACTTGCTAATTGCAAATAATTGTATTTGAACATAATATCAATAAATTAATTGTCATGCCTCCAAAGATCACTTTACAGATGCGCAAAAGTATGAATTTTGTCTGTATGCTCATCAGAATCCAGGGACTCGAATTTATTATGTTAACTGGATTGAAAACAAACAGAACGTCAGGGTTAGCGAATCTACAGTATCGCGAATTCTTCAGAAAAAGGAAGAGCGACTTTCGACTGAGGTTAATGCACCGAAAGCAAAACGACATACTTCCACAACAATCAAGTATAGATCAATATTTCAATAACGGAAGCAAAATGTATTTAAAAAGTGTGCATAATAATATCCCGTGATCATGTGTAAAGTGCACGGTTCAAACTCTCAGTCCCGAGGTGTGCGTTGATATCGTAATGTCTTAACAATACGATGACAACATCTCATTCGCATTTCGCAAAGATATCACAGTGAGTGACATCAGTAATACATGATGAACGAGACAGTTGTCGGATCTTAGAAAGCCCGTAATGATAGTGCTAGCTATTGTATTGGTATTATAACAAAAAGTTCAACTGCATTTTTACAATGTCAAGCATCTTGCCATCTACTAAAGATATTATTTTGATCCGTAATGACATTCGATTGTTCTTTTCAAAAATGTAAGCTATCGTACTGATGGTGAGAGAAAAACTTGATATAATCATCGGTTATATAAACATCCTTTACCTCGCCAATTATAAATCCAATAAATATTACTGTCAAAATCAGGACTATATTAATATTAGTATGTTCGTATAACATATCCAGGTTATGATAAGTTGCTTGCAACGTCCTCCTGCTAATGAATAAATTACAGTTTCATAAATATAAATCATCAGTCGCGTGAAATACAAAACATTCTGTCGTTAGGAACATCACCTTAATAACATCCGCACAGATGTTTTGTTTTTTTCACAAAGTGAAGTAACCTGTTGAATGTTGGCAAGGACTCTTCATGTAAAAGAAATTTGTCAATAAATCACGTGTTTACTGGAAACCCCAAATACAGGAGCCACACCATAGACAATTTTACTACTGTACTAAGCGACAATATACGTTATTGATATTTGTTAAAAGTATCAAGTCCGACATCCCCGTTGCTGCATACAGATTGGCGCAAAGATTATATTGCGAGAGAAAAATGCCTATCTAACGGTCCAGAGGCCTTGGAAGACAGAAAGCGTAAATTGCATTGTATAATTAAACTGAGGAGACATTGGGTAAAAGAGCTTGTAAAGCTGTGCAATGTTATTCGACTATAATGACAGATTTTCAGTAGCGCCAAATTACAATACTCGTACATTTTTAGAAAAGCATAAATGCCTCGTAACAGCCGCATATAACAATCATTTTCTACGTTTATTCAACTTCTTAATCATACCAAAATTTAGGCTAATACTAATAGCTTACTATGAACTAATGTTTGCGAAACGGGCTAGTCACCTTTCCGTTGCGTGTACTTTATATATCATTATAGTAAAAGGCTTACTAAAATGCGTTCTTTCATGCATGTACTGTTTCCGTTTTCCTGCGCTTGGTCCAGGGCAATGGCCAACATCAAAACGAGTTAACATGCAGATCGAAACAACGTATCATGCAGAGATGTCTGCATTCTTTTACTTTCTCATATGTTGAAAAGAAGCAACACGAAAAACCGCTTATTAAAAGGATTACATATCGAATATATCACCAAAGCTCCATAATACATAAAAATAACCCAAACATACACAAATCCCCGGTTTTTTATGCTAAAAGTGGTTACGTTATTTTAATTGCAATTCTTGGCAAATGCTGTGTAGCAGAACCCGCATCATCTATGTCAATCGTGTAACAATTTCTTTTTGGATAATCATTGCCCCAAAGTCTTTTTGACACTTCTAGTAGAAATCGGCACCAACCGTGCGTCATGTGAAATACCCATAAATTTACACTAATCCTGAAGCACCTATACCCAAACACCCTTATCGACAACACAAATGTGGGCAGCTATTTGTGATTAGTTCGTGACTATGTCAGCTTAAAGGCATATTCCGGCCACCAATTTCATGTCTGTTGGGATTAAACTTGGTTTTTAATTTACTATTGAGAGATCGGGATTAAAAGGCTGGCGTTTAGTTAAATAACAAGGTGGCAGCAGTTTAATACCTAATGTTTGCTCTCTCTAATAATTATGTTGACATAAACAGAGGAGTTGCGCAAAGATCGAACGTTTATCTGAAACTTTGCCTTTGGTATGACATTTGTGTCGGGGCAGAGTGATCGCATCGTAAAGTGAGTTGTACAACTGTTTGTAACGAATGCTGCTTTATTAATTTATAAATAGTAAATAACAATAATAATAGTAAAACATGGTGCATTCATTATTAAAAAAATGTGTAAGACACATTTATGACGCTAGGTTGCCAAGCGAATTTAAAAATATTGTTCATGCTAGACCATAATCAGCTTCGCGCAAGATTAAGATTATCCGTGTAAATTGCACTTTGACCATTACAGACAGCTTGTATTTAATATTAATCAAATACAGATAAAGTAACATGATTAATTATGATTCCAAATATCGCTTATGCTAGCTAAACCATTCCATCCCATAGCGAAAGTGGGGCTTATATAAATCTTGCAGAGTTGAAAACGATTCCTCAACAAATATATTGACAAGTAAAAACATTCTCGATAGTCGACAAGACTGAATATGAACTTATTTAACAAAACCCTGTCATTCATTCGTTCGCATTTTCCCCTGTCAGTGTTTCGTATAGTCTACGGCCGTAGGTGGCGCATAGTTTGTGTGGCGTAACGTACTTACCCATTTGGTCATAGAACCCCCGCAGTTTTACGTTCAATTAATTACATTAAATTGAAATTGCCTTTTTGCAGTTAGACCTTTACTAAAATCCCTGTGGATCGAAAAAGACATTTCTTACCAAAGTTGGTATGATGTTCAACTCTGACCATCTGTTTGGTTAGTATTAGATTAACGTATACATACATTTCCGAGTATGTTGCATTATTTCCTATTCATTACAGTTTACGTTATTGTACATAGCACTTGCTACTGTGGACCTGCAATACTAATTGGTTGATATGTTGCAAAATAATCACCCGATGTTATCTCTGCCTAATTAATAAATTAAAGGAATTGCAATCCCAAAAATCCAACAACGGTAAATTAATTGTGTACGAGCTTGGAAAACGCTTATAAGATGGCTTGTCGATCACATAATGCATTCATTTACCCTTCCGCTTTATTCTGTCCATCGCAAGCCATAACGTTCTCTCGCTTTCTTTCTTTTCTCTCCTCTCCTTTCTACCTTCTTTTCCGCCTTCCCGCCACTCCACAACTACGAACGCAGCATCGTCACTGTCTCTTTCTTTATACTTAGATCAAAGGTTGTCCTGCGCCGAGGTCGTAGTAAACCAACCCTTTAATTATTAATATATAATATATCTAAAGACAAGACTATATCGCATAGCCTGTCCTGTTTGATAAACTTACTTTAGAATTAACCCGACATCCGTCGAGAGAACATATAAGCCATGACACCCAATCATAAAAGTTTTCTATGGGCAATACTGGCTACATTGCTGGCTGCTGTGACAGTTACTGCCCAAGGGACTTGGAAAGTCGTTGGCAAGTGAGTATATTGAAAGCTTGCAAATTTTGTTAGTTGGGTCAGAAGAAATGTTGCTAACAGAATACGGTAATTCTTCGTTCTCTCCAACAGCTCCGGTGTCACTGCAATGCACATGATACTAGTTGCCCCCCAAAGATTACTCATTATTGACAAAGGCAAGTACAAAACGTGAGCAATAATTAGCACGCAATATTAGAATATTTGGCATTTACATATTTCATGTTTCTTTCACCACTTTACAGCTGAAGACAATCCAGACGCGCTCCTTCCTGGCGGCAATGGCCTGACGGGCTGGTCAGCCGAATACAATCTGGATACAAACAAATTCCGCGTGCTCCCTCTTACTACAAACACATTCTGCTCTGCAGGCGCTTTCCTTGGTAACGGAACGTTTGTCTCAACTGCCGGTGGTGAAGTTGTCAATTTTGCAAAGGTAAAAGCACAGGCTGGTTACTCGGGTATTCGTTTCTTCAATCCGTGTCTGGATGGAACGTGTATGTGGACAGAACTTAAGACGCCGTTGAGTTCTTGGAGGTGGTATGATGCCATGACTATGTAAGTATTGTGCGAACATGGAGAGCGTAAAGGAAGGAGTACATGATATAACGTGTATTATGATCAATCTTATTATAACAACTAATTAATCAACTCTTGCGTTTAGATTGCCCGACGGGAGTGTAATCGTCATTGGTGGGGCTACGGCACCAACTGCAGTAAATGACGGTGCGAAAAATAACCCTTCGTACGAGATTATTGGTCCCGATGGTTTAAGCCAAGAGTACAAGTTACAATTTCTCACCGACACGTAAGTATCAAATTTATATCAGAAATGATCATATGTTCCATCACTTTCAATATTTGCGCATTCATCATCTAACTATTTTCTCCCTTACATTCACATACCTAACTAGACTCCCCTACAATCTTTACCCCTTCATTCATACAATTTCAAACGGTCTCTACCAAGGTTATGTCTTTATCTTTGCTGGCGCAAAGTCTATTATCTACGATCTCAAAGCCAGCAGCGTGGTCAAAGCACTCCCAGACCTCCCAGGTCCCCCACGCTCCTATCCTCTCGCTGGCGCGTGTTCTTTCCTTCCCTTAACCTATGAGAATAATTACAATCCATCAGTTCTAATATGCGGTGGACAAGCTAAGAATGATCATCAAAATCCCGCCGACAATACATGCGGAAGAATTGACTTGGGTGTTACAAACCCTACATGGGAGATGGACGATTTTGGTGGATTACCGAGAGTCATGAGTGATGTTGTCATCCAAGCTGATGCGAAAGTAGTCTTCCTAAACGGTGCTGGAGTTGGTATTTCTGGGTATAACAGAGGCACAACCTTACTGGCAAATAACCCCGTGTTTACTCCCGTTGTTTATGACATGAATCAACCAAAAGGCTCTCGCTGGAGTAAATACGCACCGTCAACTATCCCCCGTATGTATCATTCAGTTGCAACCCTAATCACCGACGGATCAATTATTGTTGCTGGCAGTAATCCCAACGAGAACTTCAAAGGAACAGGAATCTTCCCGACAGAATATCGAGTAGAGAACTTTATACCACCCTACCTCAACAACGGCTCACCTCGTCCAACGATTGTTTCGATCAATGGAACAACAACGTTCAACAAGGCTCCAACAAAGGTTGCTTATAACGAACCAGAACAAATTGCATTTACCCTCCCAGCTGGACAGAAACCTGGCACAATTACCGCTGCATTGGTATATACTGGATTCAAGACACATGCTCAATCTATGGGAGAACGACATGTGAAATTACAAGTTACTAACGTAACACCAAAAGACAATGGATTTGTTGCTACGGTTTGGACTCCGCCAAATAACTTTATCATGCCGCCAGGTCCGCGTTATTTGTTTATTTTGAATAACGGCACTCCCGCTAATACTGCAATTCACGTGTTAATAAATTAGTTATTATATGTCAGCACTAGAAAGTTTTCTTGGTCGTCTTGTAATATTATTTCGTTCACCAAGTAGAAATAAATATTTATTAGAAAAACAAAATTACGCGTTTTCCTCTCAAATTTGCGTCTATATAGTAATCTGGTCTTACAATAAAGAAAACGCAATTGCTACTCTTTAAATAACTTTTTGTTCTCTTAATTCTTGAATCCTTGTTTGCGAGTAACCTAAAATATCAGCCAAGACCTCTTGCGTGTGTTGACCAAGTGTTGGTGGGGGAAGCCTGATTTTAAGTTTACGGTTTGTATATTTCACAGGAATTCCTTAAATTAAATTAGGATTGGTGGTTATTAAAATTACGTTTTCTTCATGGTGCATGTTTTACTTTGTTCAAACAATGACTGCCGAACTTACCAATTAGCTTGATTTTTCCGGCCGTAGGATGAACTACTTCCTGAATCATATCTCTAGCCAACACTTGTGGATGTTCGAATGTTTGTTTAATATCATTGAGGGGTGCATAGGGTATTCCACTTCCTTCAAACTTGTTCAACCAAACTTGCGTGCTCTCCTCTCTAAACCTCTTCTCCAATATATCCACCAACATGTCTCTATTTCGCACTCGATCTTGATTAGCCTGAAACTTTTCGTCATCTACTAATTCGCTTTTATCGATAATATCACACAACTTTCGAAACTGCTTGTCATTTCCGGCACCAATCATGATAAAGCTATCCTTGGTCGGCATCAGTTGGTATGGGACTATCGACGCATGAGCTGTTCCGAAACGAGCGCTATCTTGGTTTCCTATCAGGTAATTACTGCCAATGTTTACGAGCGTGGCAGTTTGAGAATCGAGGAGTGAGCAATCAATTCGTTCACCCACTTGAGTGGTTGTTCGAGCAAACAATGAGGCAAGAATTGCTCCGTGAGCGTGAAGGCCTTTGGGAAAAAGATAAATGTGTTGGTGTTTGTGTCGGTGTCGGTGTCGGGTTTCCAAAGAGAAATAGAAGCAACATTGAGTTTGTTGGTGGTGGATAGCTGAGCAGTTTTACTCACCCGTCGTTATATCTTTACACAGAGTTGATTATTATGATGAGTGATACATGTAAAAGTATCTACCCAAGTTCAAGTGGTTCCATTCCGTCTTATTATCTTACCAGTAATTGCAACTCCAATCTTGACCGGCATCCCATCTGGTTCTCCTGTAATATGCATTAAACCGCCTTCGGCCTTACAGAGATGATGGAACAAATTCAGTTCAAAGTCGTCAAGACGATAGGAATACACTTTTAACTTACTTCGACCATAACATCGTATCCAGCCCTTTCCCTGTAAGGTCCGGTCTGTCCATAGCCTAGTTAGTCTCAATACAAACGTTAAATAAAATCCGTAAAAAACAACGACTTTTGACACGATCACATCTCACTCTACCGGGGCCATCCGCAAACTCAATCATAACCCATCCCTTGCCCGAGTCTCCAACTTTTTGAAACTCACCAGTAATCGAAGCATAAACTAATCTCGGATTAATTTTGTTCAAAGCTTCATACCCCAATCCCAATTCATCCAGCTTCCCAGGTACATAGTTCTCTACCAAAACATCGCATTTCTCTACTAATTTGTGTATAATCGCTATGCCTTCACTCGATTTCATGTTTACCGTTAGCGATTTTTTGTTCCGATTTATTGCGAGAAAGTATGCACTCTCTGTAGGACGAGTGGGATCAAGCTGAAGAGCCCATGGAGGGCCCCATGAGCGCGTGTCGTCACCGCGAGTCGGGTTTTCAATTTTTAAAACTTCCGCGCTAAAGTTATAAATCATATCGAGAAAGAGATGGTAAGAGCACGAAATAAGAGTGCCAGACGGAGGAATCGATGAATGACTACCCCATATCGCCTAAAAGCATCGTACAGTATGGACCAGCTAATCTCGGCAGAAAAAAGTTTAATAAGCAAGAAGAAAGAGGTCTCAATTTAGAACGTTGGTCATATTTTTTTTGTTACCTAAAACTCGTGTCAAATCGAGCACACGTATTCCTGTTAACGGCCCATCTTTTAACTCTGTGGTCGCTGTTGATTTTGATCGAATGAATGGGAATGTGAATAGCGGTCTATTGAATCTTGTCTTGTACATGCGAAACCCGAAATTTCGCAAAGGCATTTGGCCGTTAAGGATCATTCTGCATTCAAAGTATCAACAGTAAATTGCGAGAGAACGTCTAATGCTACGCAACGGCAAAGCCATGATTAAATTTAACATCGCATTGTGTCACAGCTTCTAAAAATTTATATAATATAAAGTCTCACACTATTGATAGAGTATCTAATGCTTTAATATCTATCCAAGTCGAAGCAGGCATTCATATATTCTTGTCATTTATTCTTGATATCAGTTAAAGCGATAATACACAGATAAATCAAGCATATGTGGGGAAATATATAATAAAGTTTATTCATAATGCAGATGCGCCGAGTATTCTGTGTGATCGTAGCCGACACCTTTTTTCGTTACAATAATATCTAGACTCCACATTCCTTTTATTTCACCTTCTTCCTCAAGAATCCTTCAGCAAGAAGGCGGTCATCCTCGCATTACACATTTTCGCTTTCGTCTTTATTTACATCTCTTTTTGGAAGTGTTGGCAAAACGCCCGCCTATATACAATGATCACTGTTCAGACTCGTAATTCAATAGCACTTTGAAATGTTATACGCATCAAAACATACTTTGGCTAGCAGCCTACTCACGGTCTCTGTCGGTTGCGCACCAACAGTTAGCCAATACTTGATCCTGTCCATACTCATATCAATGTGTTTTTCCCCATCCGCATTAGGTATAGGATCATATACTCCCACTTGTTCTATGTACTTGCCATCACGACGAGCACCTGAATTTGCTACGACGATGTGGTAAAAAGGCCGATTCCGTCGACCATGACATGCTAGTCTTATGCGAACGACCATTACTCTGAGATATGAGCAAAGATTGTGTTTTCTGACATCCCCAAGATTTCGGGTTAATCACCTGACATGCACGTCGGATAATATAGAGTTCCACGCGCTATTACTATGTAAAATGTGGGGCAAATGCTGGCGGAATGACTCAAATATCAAAATGCCAATTTATCAAACGAGTGTAAGCTTATAACAAGAGTTTGCTAGCCAGAAAAATAAAGTAATTTAAGCATATATTAATATGTATATGGCAACTAAAACGTCTTGTTAAATTCATGGACTTGGAAACTGGATTATTAACACTTCTCATCAGGATTTAAACACATGCAGTTGGATGATTTGTCACTTGTAATGATCAAACTTCAGTTGCGTACGATGTAGACGCGTCGTCCGAATCGTCTTTAGTAAGCGCAATACCCAATTGGCAAGCCTACACAACTTTAAATCATTCTTTATCCAAATCATTTACTCTTATAATCATTTCAGTTAACGATCGTACTCTGCGCGTAATTCAATACAGGGAGTTGTAAATTTTGTTAATGCTTTACCAAGTTTGGCAATAGTGATTAGCACGAGGCCCAATACCCACGACTCATCACGCTTCAATTCACCGTGGATTCATGTATCAGTTGACAAACTTCACATTAGAATGGGAGCGAACAAGCTTGTATTGTTTATTCATTCCTCACTGTTAGGAATTTTCCGAGGAAAAATGTCTTTGGTTTCCACACCCACCCCGTATTACTCGATCATTATACAAATAAAATACACAGGATAAAATGTCCAATATAATACAACAAATCACAGTCCAATTAAGTAGTCTACTCAACGAACAGTTCAATACGTTATTTTTCGGTTAATAGAAACAAAGCTTCTACCTCCCAGCCGCTACGATATATTTTTGAATGTATTCCTGCAACCTAGGGCTTAACGCCTGCTTAGGAGGCTCGGTAATCTTTGCCGTCAAACTTGCTTCTTCATTATCATCAGCATCATTGTTTTTCTTACGTGATGACAGAGGCTTGCTCTTAACTACGACTGGCTTGGCAATAGTAGTATTAACATAAGTAGTAGCAGCGGCAGTGATTTTAGAAGGGTCAATTGGACTTTGCGAACCAGGTAACGAGCTACTCGGAGACGTATTAACACCAACGGGAATTTTGATCGGTGTAACAGGCTTTGAGTAATTCGGCGATTCAACCTCTGCTGCTGCAGAAGAACTTGGATTGTCATTAGGGGACTTGACCCGAGAAATATCAGATCTGTTAGAATCAGAGTTGTCACTGTTGACGTCCTCCAATACGGTTCGACCGTCAGCCTTGAATTCAGCAATTAGTTCAGTCAGGAATTTATTATCGGTGACAGGTTTCCGTGCTACTTTGAATTGATCATTCTCAGGCGAATTCCTAAAGATAGGAGAAGCTACTCGGGGAGATTCGACTGGATTTGCTAAAGGCTTGGCTGCTGGTTTCGATGGTAGCGGAGGTTTAGCTGGAGGTGTAGGCGGCAAAGGACGACCCTTGGTCACTTTATTATCATTGTTCGTAATAGGTGTCTCTGTCCTCGAGATAAATTCTTCTGGGATAGCTGGCGGCGGCGAGTTTTGTGATTTCATCAACAATGTCAAGCCTGACGGTCCCTTTAACGAAGAAACCGGCGTCTCACTTCTCTGGAACGAATCAGCTGGAAGATGATAATTCCGATTTGCCTCTATTGGGATTTCACCAACTCCTGCTCCGAGGGATTCACTTTCTATTTCACTGTTTATAGCAGCTTGTATTCGGTTGAGATTGGACCAAGGGGTCGTTTCTCGCGGTGGAGTAGTGGATTCGATTTCTGGTGAAACTGGACGTGACCCGTATGGATAGTATCCGGTTTGTTGCGTCTCCAGCCACTCTTCTATCTTGGTGGCGGGCGCAGACGAAACCCACTCATATTCCGACAGAGGAGGCGATGTCGCCTCATTCGCAGTGTAAATACCGAACCCGGGCACGTGCGGAGGAGTCGGAAGAGGCCGTCGTGTTTGTAGCGCCGCTTGTTGTTGGGTAGCAAATGAAAGATATCTCACACGTTCTATCGCCGGAATGTAAGCATATGGAGAGGCAGGCGCCAGAGCAGGACCTTTCGGAATCAGCTTTGACGGATTTGGCGGTGACTTTGGCTTTGGACGTCCCAATAATGTCGAAGTGAAAGAACCAATTTTTTTCGGACTTGCAGATCCAAAAATTGATGACTTTCCTGAATTATATGTTGGTGAGTATTGTCCCTGTGCTTCGTCATTATTCCAGGGAAGTTTACGCCCATTTGGTATGTTTACTGGTTGTGTTTCGCCACCAAGTACGTCCGCATCATCTTGCCGAAGATCTTCCACAAAAAAGTCTGCGTTTTCGTCAATCATATTGTAGTGATTGTTGTATTGATTGAGTTCCAGATTGGCTACAGGCGGCGGCTGCACCGAGGCAGAGTGGCAAATATATGCTGGAAGTTCAATAGTCAGGTATTTCCTATATATTTTATCGACAAGAAAAGTTGGTGACCATATTTTGAGTCGCATAACCAAGTTTAGACATGCACAATCGTTGCAAGGTCTGCAAGACTTACGTGAATGGTCCCAAGTACAACGATACTACAATATGGCAAGTGACTTCGAATAATACGGTATGACTTATAGTCCGAGCGGTTGCCTAAATAGACTTTCGTGTCAATTGGACAACTCGTAGCGAATAAGAATAAATATTTACATAAACTTACTGGGACATAGATGTTTACGGTTATTGTTCGATCCTCACCGGACTCAAATAAGTAGTCCTTATTCTTAAACCACTCTTCTGCGACAGTGGCAGAAACTACTTTCACATCGTCCGCTTCCTTCTTGTTTTTGTTTGCAAGAATCGCCAATTTTTGCTTTACAGCCAATTTCAATCCTTGTACCTAAAGACAATATTTGTTGAGAATGACCCCACATATACAAATTCTAATCGATTACAGTCTGTAGAAAATAAACTTTTTGCTCACACTTCTTTTCGTGTCGTTCTTGACTCGCACTTTTACACTGACGTTTCCACCGCTCATGAAAAGTCTCTCGACTAATGTTCCTTCTACCATTAAAGCTCCACTCCCACCCAACCATAGTTGTCTCATATTCATTGCTTCTACTGGTTCTTTGTAGATAGGGTTATCAATATCGCATGCTTCGACAATGAACGCTTCTTTTGATTTAAACAACGTATCTTCCTTGCCATTGTACATGATTTGAACAACCCTTTGGGTAGAGTAGTCGTTGATATCATCAATGCACGAGTTAACAAAATGCAATGTCTCAACTCTACGCTATAATTAGTTAAACCGTTTACTCACCCTGTTATCACATATTTTAGACTAGCAACACTTTGAAATGAAATTGAACTCGGTGCGTCGGCAGGAATTTTAAAGGCAAACGGGAATGTAGTTTTTCCCTTCTTGGCAGTCCAGAAACCATTTTCCTTTGGACCATGGACTGCATTCGAAGGTGGAAGGGTAGCGCCTTGGAAAACTAGACGTGAAGATAAGAAACTTTGGGAGGCCATAAATTCTCGTGTCGACAATTCTTGTTAATTAACAAGTACCGGCACAAAGTCAATTATCAGATAACAGATCAAACGGGCTTAACAACAAGGAACACGCAATGCCTTTGACACCCTACCTTCGTAAGCTGTCAATTCGGCGGATATTTCTCCTATCTTTATGGATTTTGACGTAGAACTCGTCAATACCAAACGTCCATAAACATTACCACCCGCGGTGTAGATAGTTGAATCAAGCAAAACATGTATTTTGAGTTTTGGATTCTTTACAACAGCTGTAGTTACTGGTTTAAAGTCAATGTTTGCCTGTTCTGGGGGGGCTACCGACTTGGTAGTAACAGCAGTGGCAGCAGTAGACAAGACGCCAGATATTACAGTGGGTGAACCAGAAGCCAATCTCCGGTGGGTTGACATTGAAGCGACAGACGCCTGGCTGGTATATTCACCGTTTGTGGCCATATTCGGTGTAGCTTATGATATTTAATGACAAATGCGCGTTCGGAGTTATTAATGAAGTTGGAGTTGTTATGATATCATCAAAGATATGGTAAACTATCGTATTAACTTCATTAATAACGAGGGAAAAGAAGATCAAGCGTAAACAAACAGCGAATGAACATTAATGTTAATGAATGTAATTATGAACAAGAATAGAAGATTTTGGATTTTACCCTGTCAATGGAAGCTAAGGGGTTTTACTAGGGGGTGGCGCAACTCCGAGTTACATTGTGGAGGGAGACCTAAATGCGGGCATATGTGTGTCATTTCGTAATGGTTATAAGAATAGCAATTTCACAAAGAGAACTTGAATACGTTCGGTCCCACATTCATCCTCTCTCATTTTCGAATCACGTGTAGTATACAGGTACTTGTTAAAACAGAAGAACCTCGATATAGGTACAATAATGACACATCGTGTCTTACCTTCCATGATGCGTTCTTTAGCATTAATTTCTGAACCAATCGTAAATTCATTCAGATGGACCAAATTATTCTATGTATTCTAGTTACATATACTTCCATTGTCCACTCAATCCGTTGTACTTATTGACTAAGTGGTTGTTGAATAACTATGTTTGTAGTCATATCCCCTTAATTTTCTAGCCATTTATTCCAGTATTTCGTAATTACATTGTGACGCAATCGTCATAGCTTGTCTCTTATGTCTAACCCCCCGTACTAGGAGTAGGTATTGCTACAAAAGATAATCACAAGTTAATAAAGCGTTAGCTACTGGGAGGTTCAATTCATTTTAGGCACTTGCTCCTTGAGTAAGGACGGATCTTTACAGAATTTGGTAGGCAGATAAGTATGTTATTTTATGGTAAACAATCTCTCAGATTAAGATTATTCTCTTAATATCGGGTCTCCGAATCAGTAATTAAAGTTGTTATTTAGTATGCAGAAGGCTGTATTGCACAAGTAGCACATTCTTCTCCAATATTTGCATACCAGTCTTTCATACATGTTCTGTAGCAGGACGCTTGCTTACATTATTGTTTAATTCATGTAAAGCTTTTATGGTGAAGCCTAGAACAATCGAGGGAATACTTGATTTGTAGCCCTAAAGCCTTGGGAAATTGTAATCTGAAAGCTCTTCTATTGATTAGGAAGTTAGCGCATTGCGGTCGTTGTATGTATGCAGTCGTTGTCAATACAATATCGGGGATCTCAATTTGGGTGGCAAATCCCAGCGAGTTAACTTTTCGCAACACATCGAACGACTCGGTATTCCAAAGGATTAATGCACTTTTATAATCGTTGCGATAACTCGCCAGCTCATTTGCTCTTGCTAACGTTTCAGTCAAATTCTGACGCATCTAAAACTTTAATATTCGTCCAAGGTATGTGGCTTCCACCCGCAGTCACCTCCAGAACATTACGAAAACTTCATTCATCTCCAAGATGCAGATCAAGTGACGCTAATTAATTAATCACCATGGAGAAGGTAGATCTTTTTGGCAATAAGTAAAAGATGTGATCATATATTAATATGCTGGGACTTTTGTGTGGTTTAGGCGTAGTTGATAGACAGTCAAGCAAGTAGATTACAGAAACTTTAAAACGCAGTCAGGCAGAATAAATATATCTCGTAATGGATTATGCGATCAATTGCAGCCATTTGGTTTTTCGGCAACATTTTATTAATAGTCGAGTAGACAGACACTTGTATTTGCAATAGCAGTTCCAGTTATTTCACTTGACAAGGATAAAACGCCACGTTTACAAATAAAACATGGTGACTTTCGTATTAGATCCGTCAAAGGCGTTCTTAACAACGCTTTTAACGTAATCCAAATCCAATTTATCTAACCCAGCCCCGATCCTTGGAATACTCAAACCCAAAACGCCCAACTCATCACACAAACTTCTCAACTCTGACACAGCCTTCTCGAAGTCCTCATGTGTGGGTTTGTGGAAATGTCTCTCCTTAGTAATCAAGTAGAATATGTATCTTCCATCGCGAACGAGGTAAGCTACTTCTCCAACGCGTTTGGACTGTTCTTGAAGTTCGGATACACCCCCGAATTTTGATTTGAACAAAACGGCTATTCCCTTTCCCATCTTAATGTCTGCAGAGATACAATGAGCGAGAGAGTCGGTGGGTGGAGAGGCGGTGAAGAGGTCGCCTTGAAGTTCTTCAAAGTTGGTTTGTTCGTATAAAGCTTGGGCGTCATGATGGATTTCTGATGACGTGGATGACATTTCTGAAGTGGACATTTCTGAAGTGAGCTAGAATGCAATGATTATTTTGAATGAGAATAAAGATACAACCTCCTTTAAAGAACGTTTTATTATAGAAGTATTCTGTGATTTTCTCTTTACATAAAACGATCCGTAAGGAACGAGAACATAGTTTGCAGAACATTCATAAAGTGACGCAAGAACAAAATATCAGTGTTCTATGTTGATTGGCTGGTTATAAAAATAAAGTAATAATCAATCGTGTTTGGCATAATCATAACGTGAGACAAAATAAATTCAATAAAAGAGCCAATCAGTTTGCTAATTTCAACCTTATACTTTGTCGTTATTCTGTCTCTGGTTAGTTCTCTGCACACAGCATCGAATATAGTAATAGTAATAGTGTTCTCGTATAGAATTTATCGTGCCGTGTATGCAATCATACCAAATAACTAACGTGCCTTCGCGTGATATATACGATGGAGAGAAGTAACCTGGGTATATATACAGTGCACGATAAAGTAACGAGAATAATATTTTTATTTACTGTACAGCAAGAACAGCTTAGGAGTGATATGGTAAAAATTTACTTAAGACTACTCAATAGTTTATCTTAATACCATGTTAATATCTGGGCCAATCCATAGTTTCCTTATGCTTCGAATTGAGAACATTGATAATCAAAGAGGTCTTTCAGTTAAAATTTTACAGTAAGTAAAGTGCATCATTCATAAACGATGTATTTTATTCTCATTACTTTTTGCGCGCACTGCATGTATATGTAGACGCGTGTTTGCGTTCATAGATATAGATACGAAACAAGATTGACAATCGTGTTGACGAAAATGACACATATTGACACTGTTGACGTTATTAGATACTATCGTACACCATCTTATAAAACATAAAACGTAAAAGCCGTGGCACTATTCAGCGACTTCAATAATTTGTTTTCGATGTCAGAACTTTGATAAGTCACACGTATAATTTTAATATACCTCCTTTGGTTCAAAGCGACCTATAACTGCAGAAGAAAACGATTGCCCGCGATAATATCAATTTTCTTACTATTACGCAATGATGTTGAATAAGGTGTAAAAGTCACGATGGTTAGATAAGCTTATCATAATCAGAAGTGAGAGTACATCCATTATATAATGGTAAATACTTGTGCATTGTCAGAAGCAGCAACAAAAGAGAATAGGTCCTAAGAATTTAGTTATTTGCTGTCATCCTTATTAGCTATATAAGGTGATGAAGTAGTGGAAGAGCTGCCGTTGAAACTTCCATAATGCGAAATTTCCTACTTCTGGAGAAAAGTCCCACGAAGGCAATTTGGCAATAAACACGATGAAGAAAAGAATTCATGATTTGTGAAAATAACAATAACATTAATAGAGATAATATTAAAATAAAGAAGATAGATTGGTATCATAGTAATAGTGTCTTAAGACAAGTTTGTTCTTACTATTACTAATAAATTATGTCAACAAAAAAGTCGACTCAAACTAACATTTTTTAACAATGGCAAGATTTCGGACAATGTACAGTTCTATCTTTATTTTATGTCAAATAACGAATTAAAATGGCTTTGTTACAGTTTTTTAACGTTTGGGACCATTTGATAAAATGCGATACAAGTTGTCATGTTGCTATTATTATGGCCTGTGATCCTACGGTGCAGGCCTAGAGTGTAATGATTAAAATGTACAGGCGCATGGAATAGTTTCTTCTCGATAACCAAACGCATTGTTCTTCCAATATTAATAATATTGAAAGTACCATTTTAGAACCTATAACTGCTAGCTTAACAGGGCGTCTAGATAAAGTGTAGTACCGAGACAATAGAACACAGGAAAGTCACATGATACATAGTTAAGTTGAAGTTTCTACATTTGCTTCCGTTTTAAATATGGCGCTCCAGGCCGACACTCAATTATAATGATGGTATCTGCAAATTTGTACCTTGATTCATATCTATTAATTTAGTTCCATTCAAGTAATAATGAAGAACACAAAGAGAAATTAATATATTACTAAGTCCCACAACTGTAAACGTTAGAATGTTAGCTCGATTGTGAGACAAAGTATATTGCATTACAATTGCTAAGAAGGATTAACCTTTCTTTATTGTTCAAATTTGAGATTTGATTTTAAATCCTTACAGCTTTATCTCGAGACGCGTAAAAACATTGTGAATTTCTGCGGCATCCAAAAATTATCGAGTCCCACTTATAAAGGTGTACTACGTTGCTAGAGCGATATCATTGTCGATGGTAATTCTTCTTTGGTGCACCAGTATCTGGTTGTATAGAGGTTACCCGCCGCACTGAGGATTGATGGCTGACTAAAGTTTAACCATGTTTCCCATCATAAGTGGTCTTGTCTTGATTCTTCCTGAAAAGTATTCATACAATGTTTGCCCCATTATCTTTCACGAAATAAACAAGCGAAGTTGTAAATCTCTTGATACTCTACCAATTCACTTTTCCACTTTCTGCAAGCATGTCTAATAAACTCTTTTTCTTGATCTCCTGATCTCGTGGGGTTTCCTTGACTTCGATCTGTATCCTCCTCCATTCTCGCTGGTCGTTTCTAATCGCACTGTTGTTAATTCCGTTGGCGGTTGTATTGATCATTCGTCCTTCACTTCGAATTACAGCGCCAATGGACAAGAACAGAGCGAATGATCCTGTTAAAGTTAACACGGTTCGTCCTAGTGTGTGTAATGCGCCACGGGGACCAGGACCGTTGCTTATATGATATGGGAAGAAATACATCATCAACAGAATTAGACAAATACTAACAAAAAATTAAAGCCAACGCGCAAGAAGATTCATGACTGTTATATTGGAGACTTTTTCCTGTAAGAATAGATCAAGCTCACCGAATTATTGAAAGTGTGCCAGAAATCAGTCCCAAACACATCCCAACCATTCCGCCTGTAATGGCGCCATATTTCATGATCTGGAGTTTTGATGGCTCTCCACGTGACATTTACAAGAATCTTTCGGAAGTAGATGAAATGTTTATACAGCTCTGGAGCAACAATCTGTTGTGATTGCGTTAAACAACAAGAAGCAAATGAAATCTGATGGCGATCATCTTAGCAAATGCCGAAAATTGCAAGAGGGAGAGCCGTTACACAACTGTCCAATGCTGTTGTACAGGATTTTGCTTTAATCCTAGCCGGAATATGTGATGTTGGAGCAGTTACATGCAATGTACACCATCCATTATGTATCATCGATCAACGTTTTCACTGATGCGCCTTGAAGATAACCTAGCATATCCCGCTGACGATTCCATCAACTAGATCCAGTGCAAATGATATGCTAGTTCCACCTAAGATCACTTGATACATGTCGTACAATCAATTGGGAACCCCGTATTAGTGAGAGATGTTCGAGTTTCATCGCAAATCCATCAATGTCATTCTCTACACATGCTCAACTGAAAAAACGAGTAGGGAAATATGGTACATCAAGGTTTGTATGGTGGAAAGGCAATTGTTATCAATGGACTCGGTTTTTGCGTTTTCATACCGACTTTGATTGCTAATAATAGGCTAGAGTACTTGCAAAAATTGTTGGCTGAATATGAAGATACAAAGGATATAGGCAAGTAATTTATGGTTTTGATCAGTGGTAAATCTTTTTGCAAACGAATTTCTTTGTTTTGTTAACGTTTTGTGTATTCTTAACTCGATTCATTCGATAAGAAGCAAAACATCAAACGTTAGCAAATTTAGCCAATTTTGCTTATGATCCCATAAACTATCAGTGGTTACATGATCTGAATATTGTTGACTTATTTCTGGATGCTCTTACTGAAGATGATGAGAGGATAAAAGAGTTTGGCATTGGTGGATTATGTAATTTTGCATGTGGTATGGTAAAGAGGTGTCTAGATTGAGTGGATAAGTTCATACAAAAAAACTGATTTCTTATTCTTGGTACTTTTTATGTGCACACTAGATCCAAAGACAAGAGATCATATAATAAACAATGATGGTGTAGAATTGATTGTTGAACATTGTTTAACTTCTAAAAACGAGAATACTTTGCTTTCTGGGATCACTACAATAATATTCCTAATTACTCCTGAGAATAAACAGGGTGGGTTTTTGGATGAAAGCTAGTTATACATGTCATGATTTGGAATGAGATTCTAATAATTATAATGCTAACATTGCATAACATTTTTATTTGATAGTTGTATGCACCAAAGGAATCGGTGAAACTATGAAAAATCTTATTAATCATGGCGATGCGAAAGTTAGGAACCTTGCCCAAATACTCTACAATGATTACTATTAAGAATAAAGTTTTACATTCTCTTCCAATTTTAATATATCATTTATCAAACCTTTTTATACAATAAATTGTGGTTTCATAACTGGAAAATGATGAACATGAAATATTGGTGGGAAAATGAAAATTTTTATGCATTGAAGGAATGATATAATAATAATAGAGAGTTTTTTCTCCACAGCCATACAAGAACTCGTCAATAATTACAAAAGATAATTAAAAACTCGTAAAATTACATTTTTGTAGCAGCACATACATAATAATAAGGTGAAAACTCAATTTATTTAAACAAACTGACATTATTATTCTCTCCGATGTTAACTACTGACATTCCATCTAACATTACAGTAAAACTGTAATGGCAAGAGTTTATACCATATGATTTTATTCTCATGGAGATGCTTGTGATAGGACGGAATGACGTGAGAGAAAAATTTCCTCGTCTATCCTTTTTGCTCGTCTAGCAAGCTAATGAACAAATACAAAAGTCTCTGAATTTTTTGTCATTAATTAATAAAATCTTTTTTTTTTGCAAAAGTCTTTATTACCTACATATACTATACAAGTAATGGTAATTGTTGTACCATTAGCAAGGGGACATATGTAGTTTAAAATTAATGTCCCGTTTTCTCCGGATGTCTACTGTGCTATCCAATCATATAGATTACTTGTTTTAGCCACCAATGTGTCTTTGTAAATTAAACCAAGTGAAGCATATGATACTACTTATCTACCGCACCAATCATGACTAATACGCGAACAACCCGAAGAGTGACGGCAAAGCGTCGCGTTGGGTGGAATAATTTTTGAGAGGACTGTCGGGTAAATAATTTTGATCATCCACGTTTCTAAGGACCTTTTAAAATTGCGGTATCCAGGCAAGTCCGTTCTCTCCTTTCGGACATGACGCAATAGTCAAATGTTAAATTATTTGGCTATTCTCAGACTACTGGTCTCGGGATCCTCAATCCTGGGGAAGCGTTTATGATTGGGATCTTTACCGGATTAAAAAGCAACGGGAATCACGAAATGTAACAGCCATACGGCGTTGGGTGACGAGCTTAGAGATCTAGCAACAATATTCACAGATAACTCGCATCCAGCTTATGAAGTAATCAAGAGATTACAGAAAGATTTGAAGGGAAGTACACAGTCATTTAACTTAGAGCTTAATTCTAAGAGAGGTGTCGGCGTACTTTACAGATAATCCGGCAGCCGAGTGCTGAGAAGTGATGCCGCGTGTAGAACCGACGGGTAGCTCCGCGTGAGCGTGGCTGTGGAAACGCTGAGTGGGCTGATCCGTGTGATCAGACGAGGAATGTCTGCTTGAGCTAAACCTATGGGCCGAGTGCCAGCGGGGGAACTATCACAGCGCGTGGAATATATTCCTTCAGGAGGAATAGGTGAGTATCTCACTAAGTATTTGTTATATATCCGAAGGTACGCTGCCACTAGGGGTAAACATGACACAAATACTTGGGTTTTTTAGCCGAACGGTGGATGGTGGTGCTGATTTAATCGCCACCATCGACAGGGTCGGTTTCGTGATTCATTGCATTTGGTTCCAACCTGCTGTAAACACACGCACGCATCATTCACAGCGCACTAAATACATACCAGTAAGTCTTATTATTATTCTTCTTCTTCAATTAAGTAATGCCTGCTACATTTTTATACGTAGCATTCTCACTGACCAAACCGGTTAGTATAACATGCTTATTATTAAGATGCATAAAAATTTATTAAGCGAAGCTTGAAGCAACAACAACAACAACAACAATAGTATAGACGCTGACAGTACCGACAACGGACCCCTTTACAGGAGGTTGCATCAGCCTCACATTCAGGTGTGGCTGATGCAATGCTCTAGTCGCCAAAGACAAAGGGAGTGGAGATAGCAGCCGGTCGGCATTAACACATTATAACCTTGGAAACGATAAAAACGAGCTCGGATACCATGTGTTAAGACAGCAAAAACTATGATTTATGAGGCATACAATTATAGCAAAAATCAGTTAGAAATATTGCAGTAATACTCCACATCCACATACAGTCACTGCTGAATGCATCGAATCACGCCAGTCATAAGCGCATCAATATCGCGGGTCGTTGACACAGCTGTTACATGCAGCAACAGCAAGAGACTGTCTGGCTGGGAACGGGAGTTAAGCCTGCCAGAAGTTCGTAATACTGGCTTCGCGCAGTCCCCCCATCATCGATATTAGAAGAAACTGTTGAAATAATTAATCATAAAAGATATAAATAATTAGCTATAATTTTTTCAATGTGTGTATACAGTCCCCGGGGAAAATTATGGCGGCCAGTATTTTTTTAATATATCAATTTTGTTTATTTAACAGAAGTTCAAACTGATATTATAACTTGCCAATGAAAAGTGGCTTCCTTTTAAATCTATATTAACTTAAACCTAATATTATGAATGTAAATTGACAAGAAGCAAATGTAAAAGCTTTTTTACATTAACAGATTAGACTATATCATAATCAGGAAAAATTATATTTTTCGATTTGCAATCTTCTAAATTTTAATTAACAAGTCTAAAAACGCAAACATCTTACAGTATAGTAGATTTGAGACTGTTTGTTAGTCAATTCAAATCTCACTGAAATTATTAAAATGCAAATATAAAGACAAGGGTATTTTTAATTATGCCTGACGTATTAAGTAAATAAGAAAAGCAATAATATATTTACATGTTACTATAATAAGAGATAACCGATTTTTGTATTGAATTTTTATAAAAACTATAAAAACGATTGTCACCGCCATTATTTTCGCCGGGAACTGTATATAATTACTGTTAAATTAAATTGCGTAATATAGAAGAATGAATGCCTGAAGGTTAATAATAATTATCACAGGATCTGTGGACATCAAATATTTAATATTTTTATTTAATATCCGTATTTCGACATTTGTTCATACAGTCTGATTAAAGTTGAGAGTTGTTAAATACGTTGCCACAATGCTTTATTGAATGTAGAGTCTGCTGGAATGGGTGAGTCTGAGACATTTTGCATAATACGTGTACCGGTTACACAACACATTAAATAAAATCTCATTTTCCTCCCTCGCAACTCATCTCAATAAATACAAAATGTATCAGCAAATACAACATTTCGAATGTATGGGGAGATGATGTAAGTAATCTCTTGGTGGAGAAACTGATACCCAACCCAACAGCTAATAAAATTACGGCAAGCGAATTGGTATTGAAAGAAGGCATAGACGAAATAGGATGTAGATCGACGGTATCCTGGAATGGGACTCAGACTAGTGTTGTCATCTGAGAAGAAAAAGCCGCCACTTCCATCCCAATTTACGCAACTACCTTCAGAAGAATATATGATACGAAGAATACTCCATGGTGTGCCGAGGGAATAATCGACTTTCCACCTGGCGGCTCTTCCGTTACAATCTAATTTCGATTACATGGATGGAATTGATTTTCGAAAAGGCTGTTACTTGGGACAAGAACCGACTTTTCGAACTTATCATACTGGTGTCACACGGAAACGCATTTTACCCGTTCAATTTTATGGATCTAATGACGTAAGGCCGGACCGATTGTCCATCGACCGTACGATTGAAAACTTGAACATATAGTACATCCGGGGCGTGTTATTTATTCGTTAAAGGACACAAAGAGAAAAGAGTTGGATTGGACCAGAGTAACAAAATGCAATGTTGGATTGGCATTATTCAGATTGGATGCGTTGGAGAAGGAAGATTTGATGAGCGGTGATAGTGGTGGGAACGGAGGGAAAAAAGATAAAGAACAAGTCCGAAAAGGAGATGAATTTAGAGTGAGGCCAAAGTTAGAAGCACAAAGAGAGTGAAAAAAGCGAAAAATGAGAGGAAGACAAAATAAAAAACATGCAAAAGTTGTAATGACGGAATTGAGAATGTAATACTGAGATGCGATTAGAGGGGAGGTTTAACAATGAAGTCTAGTTGTCAGGCCGGGCAGAGATGGAGTGAACAAGCGAATAGGATAATATTATGGAATTAAGACACGTCGTAAATTTATTTCAAACACAAATAATTTTTAATTTAACCCACAACTGAATATATCTAGGAAATTTTATTATATAATGTTCAGCGGCGGGACATTGTTTTCAATTATAAATACACGTCAGTTTTTCATTGATTAACTAGATAGTATTTGCTCAAACTCTCTCGCACTGTTGATGTGAACGGAGCCGTCTTGGCATATATGTGTATGGCAAATTTTATTTTCGTTGTTGGATGCCGTTAAACTTGCATCGTTACGGGGCCGTTAAGGTTATGCAACAATATCATGAAAAGAGTGGCGATATGTCTTTGAGGGATGTGAGTGATGATTCATCATTGCGTGGAATGACCTAAGGTTGTTTAGTTCTTACAGGAGTTTCAGAGATATTCTTCAATCGGAAGATTCGAGCAGGTGTGGGATCTGCTTTTATCGCATCTCCAGGATTGTTGTCTATATTCTAGTCATGAAGTGACTTGGCCAACTGCATGGGGCCATTTGGAAAAGAACTGGTATGAAACAAAGTCGGGAAGCACGCGTCATCCCGGCGGTGCTGGAATGCTTCGAACCGAGCTCGAATGTTGCTGCGTATTTTATTCAGGAACGATTAGCATTTTCATAAAACATTAGTCTCAAGATATAAATAATGTATCATATTTTCTTATATAGTCCCGGCAAAAGCAACTAATACTAACAGTAAACGTGCACGATTTATTTCGGCATCTTGTGAACTCAACCATATTGACATACGTGGAAGCACATCGTATAATTCGAATAGGAACAAAACCTTTGAATAAAACTCGTATAACTGTAAATAAGCCCGTCGAATTACAAGTTTATTCAAAAAAAAGTTTGAGTCACTAAATTATAAGAAATTAGAAAGGCACGGTGTTAATATTGTAAACTGACTTCATCCATAACCAATTGATGTCATACCTGCAGCTGAATCCAAATCGTAGCTATTTGTCGGTTTAGGTAAATCTCCAGTAGGTAAGAGCGTACTAGAATATTTACTCTCCTTCTCGAGACGTGATAAGGGTTTTACATCATTATGAT